GAGAGAGAGAGAGAAAAGAATAACGGCAGTGCTCACGGGAAGGTGGAAAGGGGGACTGGGGGGACGGAAGAAAAAATCTTGCGCGGCATTACTCAACCTCTATTGGATAGAAATAATGGCGTACGTAAAGAAGAGTCCCATGGAATGGACGACGAGGCGTTCGCGTGTTTTTCCGTTGTGCACACCGGTCACTTTCGTCCACCCTTCGTTGCGCCGCACTTGTCCGCTCGGTTGCACCTACCCCTATACACACTCACGTATTGCCGGTCATCTTCTTTTTTGCCGTGGGGTCGTGCCGTGACGTCGCGACACGTGCAAGGTCCTCCGACGCCGCATTGTGTCTCGCAAAATTGGCCGGCTACGTGCGGGCAGGACGGGGGAGAGAGGGCGAGAGGGGGGGGAGGGAGAGAGGGTCGCGTAAATCGCGAACAAGAAAGACCCTTGGCGCGCCGTTACGCTCCGGCATGTTTGCGAAATGGCACGGCTGTTACTTGCGGAAAATGCGATACAATGCGGCGCTTGTAGAAGTCGGGGAGGATCAAAGGACCGCATTTCATCCTCGGAAAACTCGGCGGGGCGTCCGACCGATTCCTCTCTCTCCTCCGGACGGAAAACAATCGTGTCGGCCAATAGACGATTTTACTTTCGAGTGCGAAACAAAGCATCGTAAGTGTTCGCTCGACGCTTTTCAAGCACCCCCGGGATATTGTCGATCGTTATATTTGCAATGTTGCAGACTACGCTGTGTACGTAATCCAGGAATTCGCGATTAGATATTCCCGAGAGCTTTTCGCCGTCAAAGTCGCTTCCCTTGGAACAATTTTATTTCGACAAATTGAGGCATTCTCGACGGACATTCAATCGCAGCTCCTCCTCGAGCTCCTTCCGCTCGATCGACTTGGAGTGATCGTTAAACCAATCGGCCTTTCCAATCTAATTGCAATTAATCTCGGAGCTTTCAAAATACTCCTGGACGCGCGACGCAGCCGGTCGGGAGGGGGAGGGGGACCGTTTGCGGGACCGTCGGCGTGGCGCGGCGCGACGTGGCGTTAACCCCGCCCTTTCTTTTTCGTTCATTACATTAAATTGCTCTCGTTACTGTTATTAAGCGCCACTCACGCTCCACTTTCAAAGACTGCGCAGCGTGGCACGTCGCGCGGGGGCGAATTACATTAGATTATAATTACACATTCGCTTAACAAGCGTTTGTTAGCTTGCCGTCGCGCCGTACCGCGTCGCGTCACGCCGCGCCGCGCCGCGCCGCGCCGCGTCGAGCAATGGAACAAAATTTTTCGCATAATTTTCACTTTAACGGAACCGGCAATAAAATTTATTTTATACCGCAGAGGCCAATAAACATGCAACAAACCGCGCGACGCATGCTTTGTGCGACGTAATGGAAACAAGCCCGCGTCGCGTTACAGCGGGGCGGTGTAATTTTCGAGCCGTGCTGTAAATTCTTGCACAACACGAGAGTCTTATTAAACAATAACGCAATTTCTCCGACTGAATAGGGAGTAATGATGATGTAATTTCATTTAGTACCCTTTAGCCAGAATTAAGATAATCACTCCGAAAGTTTGCCCGCGCGACGAACGTTATGTGCACAAGTTAACACGCTCGTGCTCAAAATTTTAAGAATGAATGCCAGGACGTTTAATGGAACTTCGTGACCCGCGGAAGTTAATTACGCCGGTCGCATGGTGCATTTAATCAAATTTCATTTGCGAGCAATCTGCAACGCCAAGACAGGCTCGAATAGAGACATACGACATAATATTTACAGTTACAGCGGTAATTATGGATTTCTAAGAGCTTAATTAGAATTTCTCCCGCTCGACTGCATCGCGATCAACATCGTAAACTCTCAACCATCCTCGGCTATACTGAAGTAAGTATACGTTATATCGAGCAACGAGCAACATCCATCGCGTTTTCATTTTGGGAAGGGAGAGAGAGAGAGAGAGATTCCAAATTCGTCGAAGTGATTTACGCGATTAAATTTCTAGCAATAGTGGTGGACCGCATTATCCATAAAATATCCAATACCGCTTACGCGATCATGTATTCATTCGTATGTAAACATGTCGGGAATAATTCGAATTGATGAGCGATGCCCTTCCGAGCGTTTGCATTTCCTCGCAAATGAAGAAACCTCCGTGACTTTTTTTTCCCCCCCCATCCATTTCCGAAATTGCGTTTTCGCAATTACTCGTATCATTTTCGCCGTCGGGCTAACAAACGCAAATATCAATCGAGTAAACAAGGCACGCCGGGAGTCGACGACCGGGAAATAATGCACGCGCGCTTCGTATGAGCGTTTCCCAGAACGAAAGGATTTCGTTTCTTCTCTTTGGCAATGGTTTCGACCGGCGGTCTGGCGCGGCGTTTGTCGGCATCGCGCCGAACGAATTGCAGGATTTTAATTGCATCCACGATGCAATCGGCGCGATCTAATTGCGACAATTATCGCATGCGTAGGGACGTACCGCATGGTTTCGAGTTTGGTTTTCCCGTTCGATCGTCGAGAATATCTCGCATTTAAATTATATCCGGCCGTTGCCTCCGCATACGATCAATAAACAAGTGCGCCGCGCGATTTACTCCGTAATTTATCGTAACGGCAAAAAAAAACCGACCGCTCGCGCAATCGCGACCGATCATTGCAGTTGTGGTCTAAACGTGGCAAGTGCCTTCGCTGCTGTTGTTCCCCTTAAGAGTTATAATTGTTGAAAACTGAAACCGCGAGGAAATAATTAATCGAATTATCGCGGAGAGATTGTTGCGGTAAAAACCGCGACATTTCTTGACGAGCAAATTGGCCTGTCTGAAAATCAGAGGCACTTACTTGCGCTTATTACGCTCCGATAGTCCGCAATATTATGTTAAATACGATATACCTCCTCGAGAACACGAGAGTCAGGCATCTCTTACCATTAATTATCCAACTTTATCAGTCATCGACGAGCGCTGCTCGTGACAGTAACTCCACTTTGGCGAGCCGGCTGGCTTACCGCGTAGCTGCCTCGGACGATCAGCGTACAAATAAGTGTCTGGCGCAACGCGCGCGACAAAGCGTTCGCGTCTCTGAGAGCCGATAATTACCTTCCAGACAATTTAGCGCGTCGCACATTCACACAGCGAACGACGAGGCCCCGATACCCGTCACAGACTCCGACATTAGCAGCTAACTAGGACGCGTAATCTAGGATCCGCAGCAGCAGCAGCAGCAGCAGCAGCAGCAGCAGCAGGAGCAGCAACAGCACCAGCAGCAGCAGTAGCGACAGCAACCGCAGTGCCTCGAATCTCTCCTCGCCGTTGTGCTCCCTTATCGCTATCCAAGGTAGAATATCTCCTCAGCGCGAAATCCGAACGCTAATAACGCTCCCCGTTTTCGGCGCCAGCGCGCTCGCGCGCTCGCTTCATCGAGCTGCGACGTGGACAACTTGTTCGCCACTTCGCAGGTCGCGTAATCGCACGCCCGGTTTCCTAAGGGTCGTCCTCGGGATCACGAGGCGGAGTCACGACCCTGAAAATCGGGCGAGTTTCGGGACCCTGGCTTCGGGACCCTCGGCGTTACCGCAGCGGCGAGGATGCGCGGGGAGGCGGCGACGGCGGCAGCGGCAGCAGTCCGCAGGGATTACACGAACCGCCGCCCGACGGTGGCCGATTGCTTGGCAAATAGGATTGTGCAGCCAAACAACTACCGTCTAGTAGTTACGCGAGATTGTATCGCGTTACAATAGCAACGGCGCGAGCGACCTGCATATGCACACCCCCGACATCGTCGACCCCGGGCGTCTGCCACCGTCGGGTTCTTCGCGGTATTTGCATTCGTTTACCGACGCGAAGCTACGTACAAAGCTACAGCCCCTCTGCGAAACTAGGAGCATATGTAACGAGGTCTCGGCGATGGTGGCGACGGCGACGGCGACGGCGACGGTGGTGGTGACAGCGGAGGCGGGCGTGCAATGCGCCCGATTTCTGAAAGACATTTCCTGTAGGAATACACAGACTTCGTTTTTCTCGGGAACGCCCGCTCGAGCGGAGCAGCTTTCCTCGGGATTCCCGATATCATGCGAAAATTTCAGCCGGCACCCCCTCTGCCTCTTTCCCCCCCGCGGCACGTCGAATCGATATATTGGCTCGCTATGTTTGCTACGCGGGTTACGCGAGGCTGTTCTTTACATCCCGAAAGGACGTTTTATTTCTCGGCGGAAGTCAAACATTTATACCACGGGCGAATTTATTTAAAATCTTGGAACAGTGATCGATTTATCGTATCGCGACCCAGGGAAATGCATAAATTCGCATATGGCACTTCTCACGACTTCGCGCGAATCGAAAGATTCTGATATCCCGTCGTCCGTAACCTTTTCTATCTGTCGCACGTTTTTCAGGAATATCGTCACTCGAGTGACATAAAAATTATGTAAATGATAAGAGTTGCAGAGTTGGATTATTTTTATTGCGTCGAATAAGAAGGGTAGCTTTTTATTTTCTCTTCCTTCTTATCCTGGAGGCGCGAATATAGAGCGGGGGATGCTCTATCGTGCCAGCACGAACGCCCCGACGGCGGTATCAAACGTGATTTACGGTACGAATAAATCTAGCGGTACCATTTGACGGTAAATCTAACAAAAAGCGACGGTAATAAAAGCGACGAGATTATTGTTACAGCGTCGGCGACGGCGGCCGTGTCGCGCGCGAATTTTCGCGTATGTTGTGTCTTCCAGCCGCGACGCGCTCGCCAATTTTCTGGCAGGCGAGATTCCACGATGTAATAACTAACCGTCCATAAAGAAACAGTAATGTCGCATTATTTCTACCGTACATATTCAATCCGTTCCCCTCGGTCCTTATTGTCGGCGACGATGGCGGCGGCGATGACGTATGTGCCTCCTGCATCGCGAGAGATACTCGTTAAAAAAGTTATAAAAGAGTTCGCCGAAATACATTCGGCGAACAACACGTGCCAGCGAAAGCTATAACGACGATCTTCCAGCGAGGCAACAAAGCTCGCGAGCGACGACTGTACATCGACGGCTTTGAATCCGAAATGTTCTCTTATCGGCGCGGGCCGATACTATTACCAGTGGTGCATGCAAAATACGAAGGAATTTTCTTGAAATGTCGATAGCGACATACAGACTAGAGCCTTTCGATGGCTCGGTGGAATCAAAACTCGAGGAAATAATTCGATTATAATAATCGAAAAGGGCCTTTGCTGATATAGCATTTTATTTACTTGTTAAATTATGTTACTTTGTATTATATTATGCACATTTTTTTCCTCAGAACGGACAGATATAAATATAATTATAATAAACATAATAATAAAGGTAACAAAGGGGGAAATATATGCGTATAAAATATATATGCATATAAATACGCAGAACAAAGGGAACGTTATACGCATATTAAATAGTCCGTAATCGTTGTAAATCACAATCGCGCGGGCAATACCATATCAAGGTATGCCACAATGGAGAGTCGGTTTGCAACTATCAGAGAGCAAATATCAGAGAGAGGCATTCTCAGTGTATGCGCCCGGGGTTTAGGATCTTTCTGTGATCCCGATCCCGTGCCTTCGGGGGGAGGTAATGCTCACAATGCATGAGATTGTTGGCGCACAGAGACAAGGGGCAGAGACATCGTGACCGCTCATCTTGGTAGCTGGACCACGACGGCAGTGACTATCGATCCCCGTAGGTAACTATCTCTCTCCTCTCTCTCTCTCTCTCCCTCTCCCTCTCCCCTCTCTCCTTTCGATGTCCTCGCTACCCGCTGGGATTATGCATCCCACGACCTCGCGTGGTAGTCGCCGCGTGCAGGCCGTGAAACCCGAGCTTCACGCCGACTGGACGCAGGATTTCACGGATACGGCATCGCCCCAACGTCTCTTAGGGAAATGTCACCGATCCTCCTGGATTATGTCGCCGGATTTCCGCTCCGCTTCTATCGACGATGGATTATTTCGCGAGGCTGCTCTCCTTTCGCCCGGTGCTCTCGATGATCGTGAGCGCTACGTTCAAACGAAGGAATATCGATATCGCCCGATGCAACATTTTTTCAACTGGAAAAACACGTCGGACAATATAAATATTTTTACGGTTAAAATTTCCCGACATCTCGCGATCGTCTCGTCCGTGAGAGAAATTTGACGTGAAATAGCTAAGTAGTATGGGGGAGGAGGGGGGGGGACAAAAACTTCTGCCATTTTGCCCAGTGACGTATAGCCGATCTTGATATCCGACATGATGCGTCATGACGTATCACGATGGCGGCATGTCCTCGCACGAAAGCAATTGTGACGGCACATCCTCGCGAGCTGTCCTTCTAATTTCTGCCAGGATCTGCGGCGTACCGACAGCAGCCTAACTCCCATCCATCTCCTACCCCTTCTAAAAGCTCATGCGTTTACGACGCCCGTAATGCCATATCGTCGCAGGAGCACTCCTCCGTCTTGGTTCGTTCCCCGGTTCTGTTCCGCTCGATGGCACGAAGAGAGCTAGCTCTCGGGAGCTCCAGGCATTGGCGTCGGCACCGACAAAGGGGGCTTCGAAAGGAGGGGAATAGATAGAGACAAAGGAGAAAAGGGAGGGAGAGAGAGAGAGTGAGTGCCTTAAGGCACGAACCGCCGGAATCGAGGCGCGCTTATAATGGGACTCCGGAAACAATGCTGTCCGGTATCGAACCGTCTGCTTCGATACCCCGATGCATACCCGAAGCCGCGGAAAATGCAGCAGCTCTCCATGGAGCAGGGAGGTCGCGGTCTAGGGGTTAAGTCTTTGTCGGTGTTTTGGCCTGCCGACTGGATTCGAGACAATGGCAGGACTCGCGCGAATCCTACCCCGTCGGAAATCCTGCATATCAGAGGAGCTTCGAAGTTGTGTCGCGTTGAGTCTTCCGATTTCTTTCTTCAACATCTGCAAACGGATTCGTCGGTATGCTACCTACGTGGGTAACTTTGAATGATTATTTATTCAATAATGATTACCGTCTTTCATGTACACTTATTATTAGGAATAAACGCGATTCACATGTTTTATTTAATTAAATTTAATTTAACATTTAAATAGAGGGAAGCTGTACGATAATTAAATCTTAAATTGTTTAAGAACTGATAACATTTAGGAATGAATGCTTACTAAAGAAGCCATTTATTTACAAAGAACATATATACATATAATATGTATATAATTAGAGTTAAAAGCATAGCGATAAAATGTCGAATATACTCGACAGAGATAAAATTTGTTGCACCATTATTTTACGCTGTTACGCGTAATGACAATTAAAAGTGTGTCGTAGTCTTCTCGTTCATCGAGAGATGTATTTCCGCTCACAGAAATATGCTGTTCCCTTTCACGAAAATACGGACTTTGCTACACGATAATTAAATGGCAGGAAACCCATGCAGCATGCTGTGGAAATTCCGTTTGGCAAAACCGGAAGCGTTATTTCTGCGTAAAATAATTATTTAGAATATGTCTGGTTCGTTGCGCATAAGAACAAAGTTACAACACCATATCGATCGTTTAATATATGGCTTAATATATGGCATTATTTATTTCGCTTTCTAAACTACGCAATGTTAAAGTGGGTCACGGTTTAAATTAAAATTAAATAGGTCACGATGTTAAATTTATTTTACAATGATTATGAGATATCTCACGTAGAGTATAATACTTTGCGATATCTAGGTAGATTGATAAATTTTTTTATCGCCGAGCGTAGCAATATGGCGAAGCGAAATTTGATCTGGGAACGGGAAAGTTACTATCATAAGCGACACGAGTTTGACCCCGATCGACGTGGGAATAGCATCACCGCGGCATGAAATTCTTTGGGGCAAGTTCTTAGTCGCTTGAGAATACACGCTACCACCGTTGTCAAACTTGTGCCCCTCGAAAAACTGCTGTAACGTCTTTAAAAGACGTAAATTGGCGGAAAAATAGAGGAGACGTGTCAGTGATCGAACGGGATCTCGATCGGATCATACAATGTGAGCTTGAAGCTCGTGCCGACGTTGGATCTTCTGGAGCGATAATCAATCGCTTATCTCTCACATAATTTTTATCGAAAGTCTACAAAGATTTTTTACGAGGAAATTCTCAATTCTTGTCTCTCTCTCTCTCTCTCTCTCTCTCTTAGGAATGAAAAACAATACACAATCTCAAAAGATGCATAAGTAACACGCGATGCATGAGCACGATCTGTATATCACTCTGTCAGACGCTTGGCTTTTCGGGAAGGCACTTGTTTTATGGAAATCGTT